TTACTGTATGTTCTCGGCTCGCTGGGTTCTAGCTATATATAGCTAAGTATAACTGATCATGTTTACTACTTTTGGTTGAACTGTCCCTGAACGAATGTTAATCTGAATTAGGCTTTAATTTGCCAAGTAGCAGAAAGTGAAAGAGGGGTGCACAGGAATGGACAAAGGAAACATGGTAAAGAAAGACAGCAGAGTAAACAAAACAAACAAGAAACAAGCATCTATAAATAATGTGCTAGTGTAGTTACTCAGATTATGTTAACTGTTTAAATGGATCTGAAGCACCAGGCCTTGTGAATTATTCAGCAACCTACATTTAGCATGAACTCACTCACCCATCTTCGCCTCTCCTCTCTTCACTGTGCTTCCTTTAACCTCTCCTTCAACTCCTACATGGCCCCAAAACACTGGCACACACTCAGCAGTTTCCCAGAGCATGGTCTACTGCTCCTCACAGCACAGCTCAATACTACCACATTTGCAATGCAAACTCTGACAAGTTAATTCAATTGCAGTCCATAAACCAACTTTTGTTCATTACACTACCTTTATTACAATTTAGTTTGCAATATGTTGCTATTTTGGTTTCAGCAGGGTTGTTCAAGACTTTAAAAAAAATAAAATAAAATCGCCTTGCATGAAATTCTAGGGCTGAATAATGAGGTAGGTTTTATTGAATCCAGATGAAACAGAACAGCTGGTCCTAACATATGAGATTTGTGTAATGAGTCGCTGTTAGGATAAACCCCCACTGTCATTGTCTGCACAGCATCTGCTTGGGACAATAGAATGTTTGTTGATGTATGAAATATGTATTTTTACTGTTTTAGATAATCTAAAATAAAGTTGTACAATTAAGAAAAATGTATTTTTATAATGAGAATGCTTGAATTTTCAAATGACAAAGTGATATTTGATAGGGCAACAACTCTGTATGGTGGAAAACAAATCAAGCATCTTGTTTTCCTGCATAATATATCAAATGTTGTTTCATGGACACTTATCCAAAATGACTTACAGCACCACATTTCCATGCAAGTGCTTGCACATTCAGCCCCAGTGGTGTTCAAACCACACTGAGCCTGGCAGTCTTAGGCAGCGTTCACTAACATTTGCCACCTGTCTAATTCACGTTGTGTATGCCCTACCTGCTGAGCTACACATTTTCAAATAAAATGTTTCATGTCTTTTGTGATCTTATGTGATTTTCTGTAAATCTTACAGCCATGGCCATACAAGCAAAACAGTTTCTCTACAGTATCTGCCTGCAGACTTTACAAAAATCATCTACAGCAATCTTAGTGGCTTCATCAATCTGGGATCAGACATGGAGAGAAAGAAAGAGAGATAGACCGAGAGATTGGAAATGATAGAGAGGCAAGCTTTTGTCGGAAGGTTAATGACTTTCAATAAGAAAGAAGTGTTCTCAGATGGCTGGTCTATTTTATGTGGGATTTTTGCAAGTAAAAATACTGGCGTGAATGACACTGCTCATTGTGAGGTCATCATTGGCAGTGAAGACAGATCAGTCATCTGAATGTCATTCTGAGTATGCAAACACTTTATCATTGTTGGGATTTTGTTTCTCACAGATCTGAGGCTGGGAATGAAATTAAATCATTTAAACATAACTGTGGTGTACAGCTGTACATCTCCTGACAGCAGGACTTCATCTTCATTAGCAGAAAGCAGAGGATGTGAGACCTTGGACTGGAAGGGTCTTGGCTATTGCATCTCCTGCACCTGGCAACTAAAAAGCAGCTGTGGCCCCTGATCAACAAGAGTTTGAGGAAACTTAGTGTGATGGTGTTAGAGAGGACAGCTGGAAAGGTTGAATAAGCTAAAACTGTCTGCTCGGCTGTGAGAACATAGGTTTAAAATAAATTATATATATATATATATATTTTTTTTTTTTGTACATTAGTGTAATTTACACACTTGTTTGTTGCTTAGGTTTTGCCCTGAACATAAGTCAAAATCTTTGAGATAGCGGTCACGGTTTGGTGTGGGTGAGGCAGGTTGGAGGACCCAAACGCAGGACACAAAGCAGGAAGAGGTACAGTACAAAGGGGTTTTAATGAACGAACCAAAAGCGAGTACACTTACAGGTGAGTGGCTGAATACAGAGTCCAAAAACTAATGTAGTCCAAACAGAGATCCAAAGGGAGCAGTGTAACACGACTGGGAGACACGACAAACAACAGGAGACCTCACAGCAACTCCAGGAGACAGCATACAATGACCCGACAAAGACAAGACAGAAACACCAGCCGTATATACGCACAGGGACTAACGAGCAGGGCAGGAGCAACACAGGTGAAGGACATGAGATTAACGAGGCAGGCAGAGAGAGACAGTGAGCAGAGGGAAATAGAGAGACTGACATGCAGGCAGAGTGACAACCGGGGGAACAGACGGAACACAGGTTACTGAACACAAAACAGACCAGAGTGAACACTTAACATGAACTAAGAACTAAAACGCAGTGACTAAGAAACAATATAACAACTAGACTACCAAACCAAATCAACACAGGACTACGAGCTAGAACACCAGACAAGACATAAACACTAAGGAAACGAGAAGAACAGGTAGGAACAGGTAGGTAACAGAAGGACACCAGAAACAAATGGCAAAAACTACAACTCATGACAATAGCATTGGTGTCCATGCGTTTATTTATCGTTGAGTGACTCACAACATTTACAAATTTGCAAGTGTAAATTTGTAAAACTATCATCATTAATCAAACTGAATTGAAAGAGTGAGCGATTCAAATCACAGAATAATGTGATATTTAATGATGCAAATCAAATCAAATTACTGTGGGATTAAGTGTGTCACTCCGTTTTCTACGAAGTCATCAATTCATTTAGAAATCAATGTTATACATCCTTTGATTTCACTATTCAAAGGAGAATACCCAGTTTATTTGTTAATATTAAGACTGATAATGAATGATACATTATTTTTTTCCTTTGACATTGAACCCTACACTAACAACTCACTTGTAAGTGTTGCATTTAAGACATTGAAATCTAAAGTTAACAGCCTACAGTGATGCCTGGTCAACCTTTTCCCATCCAGTTTAAAGCAGCTAGAATCAATATTGTTTTATAATAACAATGTATCAAATAACAACGTAAACAATGTGGTGAACCTACAAAGAATTAATCACTGGAATCTGCAGTTCCCCCTCAGCTTTAAGGAGCTTTATAGTGAGCTTCAGCTCATAGCTGTTTTTACGGTTTTGAAAAACACAATTAGCAACTAGCTGGTGAAAACAGCGAAGCATTTAGCACTGAAGAGCCAGTTATTTATCTCAAAAACAAAGGAAAGGGAGAGCAAATATTGGACTTAAATTTGCCAGGTGGCCAGAAACACAATTCCAAATGAATCATAATGTTGCTTTGTAACTGTTGGATGTGTAAAGATGTCAATGTTGTGTTTGCATTTTGATTCCTCTACCCCTGAGTGGTCCAAACAATCTGTTATTGCAGGTTTAAGTAAATATGTTGCTATGATATAGCTGGTACAGTAACTCCATCATGGGGGCAGCCACGCTACAGCTGTCTAAGCACTAGTAGCAGTGAGAAATTAACTGGGCGAGCCTTATTTAAGGATCCTCACCTTGTATATTATAAACTGGAATATTGTCTTCAGTTTGTTTTGTCCAGCACTGTGTTTCAGTAGATTAAAAAAAATTCAGAGTTAGATCTCTGCATACACATGTGGTCAACCTCCACCAAGACCAGTAAGCCCTGTCACCAAAATGGTGAATGGTTTTGAACTCACTATGTATTCTCAGCCACACAAAGTATGATAACCGGTCACACCCCTTGCTGTGAAAGCTGGACATTTTTATCAAGTAAAGTTCGAAGCTTTAAACAGTCCATGCACAGAATATGATTATTGTAAGGCACGGTCTGAATAATGTCAGTGGCCCTTTAAATCTTGAGCTGGCATGAAATCCTGTGTGAATGCTGCAAGAGCGTCGGAGGAGTAGAGAGTTCACTGTACACATGCAGGCATGAGGCTCCCGTGGCATAAATAAAACATGGGAAAGATTTGTGCTTCCTTTTGTAGAAAGACATGCTGGCCTTTCTCCTGTCCCTGCTGCTGTGACACACATGCAGAGGGAACGGTCTCTCCTCTTCAATATGCACATGTGCATGAGGCCTGTCTACTGCATTTGATTAATTTGGCTTGTTTCTGCCTGGTGTGATGCAGTCCCTGCTCAACACAACATTGTTTCCTTTCATTCCTGCTTTCCAGGATGACTGAATTCCTAGTTGTGATTCAAAATGTTATTATTTGATAGGATCTAAATAAAACTGTTTCCCATAAGAATCAAACAATTTAAGAAGATACAATGTAAAACATTTAACAGTTAAACAGTTTAACCTTTCCAGTTTATCCATGACTCGATGATTTGATGAGTCCCTAATGGAGTAACGTGACATTTCAAATCATTATGGCTCGGCAGGCCTTTTTAGTACCCTGGCCACAATGTTACAAACATCTCTCCTACACAGATGTTTTTTCATTCCTTTCACTCCAAAAAGTTGAGCTGAGCTAAAGGACTGTATTGAGGAAATTTAATTTAGGAAAAGCTCCTGTAGGCTCACGGAAAAGCTATCAGTTAAAATATCATTTGCTCTTTTTTGACACTTAACAACACACTTAAAATGTTCAGTGCATGTACTGATTGTTTACAGTATACCGTATGTATACTACATAACATTAAATTCTACATGGCATGCACTGTGTTGTACACAAACCTTGAGAGAATGTAGTTTTTTTTTTCGCAATGAAAGATGTTGCCCCATCCCTTTATATTTTAGTTATTGTTGTTTATTTTGAAAACATGTGCATTCATTTTTTTTTTGTTTGTTTTGTTTTGCAGGCCTTACCTGCTGGGGACTCATTGTGGTTCTCCTCATCAGAGTCAGCAAAAACTTCAGCCAGCTCCTGGTCAGACATGTCAGTCAGCTCAGTCAGATCCAGAAGGTCAAAGTGCACCTCCAAAGAAGACACACTACTCAGTGGTTCTACGAGGCATATAGACAAAACAGGGAAAGGTAATTGATTAAAATTATACACCTGTGTTGGCTGACAGGGCAGAAAAAAAGCCACTCCTCAAAAAGAAGTGGAACTGCATATACAGTGGGTACGGAAGGTATTCAGACCCCTTTAATTTTTCACTCTTTGTTTCATTGCAGCCATTTTCCAAAAATCAAAAAAGTTCATTTTATTTCTCAGTAATGCACACTCAGCACCCCATCTTGACAGAAAAAAACAGAAATGTAGAAATTTTTGCAAATTTATTAAAAAAGAAAAACTGAAATATCACATGGTCATAAGTATTCAGACCCTTTGCCGTGACACTCATATTTAACTCAGGTGCTGTCTGTTTCTTCTGATCATCCTTGAGATGGTTCTACACCTTCATTTGAGTCCAGCTGTGTTTGATTATACTGGTTGGACTTGATTAGGAAAGCCACACACCTGTCTATATAAGACCTTACAGCTCACAGTGCATGTCAGAGCAAATGAGAATCATGAGGTCAAAGGAACTGCCTGAAGAGCTCAGAGACAGAATTGTGGCAAGGCACAGATCTGGCCAAGGTTACAAAAAGATTTCTGCTGCACTTAAGGTTCCTAAGAGCACAGTGGCCTCCATAATCCTCAAATGGAAGACGTTTAAGACGACCAGAACCCTTCCTAGAGCTGGCCGTCTGGCCAAACTGAGCTATCGGGGGAGAAGAGCCTTGGTGAGAGAGGTAAAGAAGAACCCAAAGGTCACTGTGGCTGAGCTCCAGAGATGCAGTCGGGAGATGGGAGAAAGTTGTAGTAAGTCAACCATCACTGCAGCAATCCACCAGTCGGGGCTTTATGGCAGAGTGGCCCCACGGAAGCCTCTCCTCAGTGCAAGACACATGAAAGCCCGCATGGAGTTTGCTAAAAAACACCTGAGGGACTCCAAGATGGTGATAAATAAGATCCTCTGGTCTGATGAGACCAAAATAGAACTTTTGGCGTTAATTCTAAGCGGTATGTGTGGAGAAAACCAGGCACTGCTCATCACCTGTCCAATACAGTCTCAACAGTGAAGCATGGTGGTGGCAGCATCATGCTGTGGGGGTGTTTTTCAGCTGCAGGGACAGGGCGACTGGTTGCAATCGAGGGAAAGATGAATGCGGCCAAGTACAGGGATATCCTGGACGAAAACCTTTTCCAGAGTGCTCTGGACCTCAGACTGGGCCGAAGGTTTACCTTCCAACAAGACAATGACCCTAAGCACACCGCTAAAATAACAAAGGAGTGGCTTCACAACAACTCCGTGGCTGTTCTTGAATGGCCCAGCCAGAGCCCTGACTTAAACCCAATTGAGCATCTCTGGAGAGACCTGAAAATGGCTGTCCACCAACGTTTACCATCCAACCTGACAGAACTGGAGAGGATCTGCAAGGAGGAATGGCAGAGGATACCCAAATCCAGATGTGAAAAACTTGTTGCATCTTTCCCAAAACGACTCATGGCTGTATTGGATCAAAAGGGTGCTTCTACTAAATACTGAGCAAAGGGTCTGAATACTTATGACCATGTGATATTTCAGTTTTTCTTTTTTAATAAATTTGCAAAAATTTCTACATTTCTGTTTTTTTCTGTCAAGATGGGGTGCTGAGTGTACATTACTGAGAAATAAAATGAACTTTTTTGATTTTTGGAAAATGGCTGCAATGAAACAAAGAGTGAAAAATTTAAAGGGGTCTGAATACCTTCCGTACCCACTGTACTCTGAATACACAGCCCATTGTGTGATGCCAATCCTGAATCTCCATTGTACTCATAATCAGATCAATAACTGGCTCTTACTGTACTATTGTAAAATCTATTTCAACAAAGAACATGAGTACTCTTTCATCAGCTTTTATCTGTACATCTCTTGTGAAGCTATGTGCTCTCTACATCAGAAAGAAGAGATTTCTTGAGCTCGCCACTGTAGTCAGCGAGTGTCTCTGTTTCAGCCTGACACCTGTGTGTTAAACACAGGCATTGACTAAAGAATTGAAGCAAGAGCTTAAGCTCATGGAGATGAAAATAGCAAGTTCTTTAACACATTGTGGTATCCATCTTTCTCCTGGGTGTGTTGCACCTGTTCATTTCTGCACAAGGCTCTGATTCCTCAGCAGGCACGGGTCACTACTGCTGTACACAACATGTGGTTAGTATGCGTTGACACGCCAGGCTCAGCATTCCAATCAGGCTGCCTCCAAAGCTGAATATATTATGTAATGTATGTAAATTGAAATATATTCAAAGACTGCAATACATCCTAGCAAGGGTTCAAGAACCTCTGCTTGAAGAACCTCTGCTTGCCTCAGCATCACCCAAATTAGGAACCAATTCTGTGTAACAGAGCTGAACTAATCTACCATTACAGTGAGAAAGATGTTTGGAGACTATACTAAGGCAGATGGAGGTGTGTTTGCATTTCCTTATGATTCAGTGGATGCCTACATGCCAGGCAACGTCAAGCCTGAATGGAACACTTCACTGGTTGTTTGGGCGTAACCTTGTGGAGAAAACGACGGGTTGTGCGACAGGTTGAAAGCTGTTATTATGCTACGTTGTTTGCCTGCTGTTTTCCAGGCTGTTTAAGATGGGCTGAAGAAGCAGAGCCCACTCTCCTGCTGCTACTTCATTTAATTCCTTGCATTGTACCTCCTGATCGAGCACATATGGATTTTAAGACAGCTGATCATCATGCTGAAGCAGTGGCTGCTGTGCCACATTTCAGAAGTGTTAAAAATACAAACCAGAAATGTCAGGCGACATGTGGAATGGAAAATAAGGAAGCAGTGACAATGAGAGAATACAAATAAGAAATGACTAAAGGCGATCAAACGCAAAGACCAACCTCACCTGTGCTTCATTTCACCCCATAATTTCTGCTCTATTCAAAATGTACAGTCCTACAGTCCAGTTTTACTGTCATGTTCATAACCAGGACAGGGTTACATGCCGGCCATAACCCAGGTAGATATGACAAGCATGAATATTACCAAAGCCAGTGACGGTGTGGCCAGCATAGATTCATAGATTCATGTCTACAAAAGGAGAGAGAATTAAGACTGACAGAGAATGACAACTAATATGAGGTAAGACTAAGGAAGGAGAAAAAAGCAGGAAAGAGAGGAATGGATGTGATAGTGCCATGTTACTCATTTTAAATGTTAAACCTTTAGGACAAATAATAAATTATATTGACAAATATCACCCCAGATTTTACATACTAATAAAATGTATTCCCATAAAACAAGTGATTTCTCTTTCTTTAATGTAAAAACCTGCGGGATCCCCAGGGCTCCGTTCTAGTCCCCATCTATTGATTTGTTATACACATGTTCACTTCTATCCTCATATTACTAAATCCAAACCCACACTGTTTGGATGTCTGAGGACGAAGTCAACAATAAGCCTATTTGGCTCTCCAATAGCCCCAGAAATCCTGATCCATCGTCGTCCAGTATAAAGCTGTAAGCAAGTAATTTTTAAATGTGATCTTTCATGCTATTACCAATTCCTATTTAGATCATAGAAACTTTGACTCATATCCCTTTCCAGTTACAGTCAGTCTCACATGATTAAAAATCCAGCCTTTGCCAAAAGAGATATGTCAGTTTTAGCATCTACCCCCTGGTTACTAAGCTAGTTCTGCCATCCTGACAATATCCAACTTCTGTATCAGACTGTGGAAAGAGCTGCCTGTGGCTTAACACATCACATTCATTTAATTGTTTACTTTGAATATATGTAAAACACAAACATCCGACAAGAAAATGCAATCAAATAAACAAATCAAAATGATTAAATAACACAATAATAAATAATTAATAATAGTTACAGCCAAAGAATTTTCTTGAAACTCTTGTCAATTTCCTTACATATTCGAAAAGGAGAGGGAAGAAGAAAACAAACTTTTCACCTCGTGTCCACAAATCAAATGCTTACAAATAATCTACCCTTCCAAATATTTACACATCTACTTTGTCATACCCAAAAGCAATTCAAAATGTACATAAATTATTTAAAAAAGGAAAGAATGAATTTCAGCAACCCAGAAAAATGAAATAACAACAACAACAATTGAAAATACTAGCCCCAGAAAACACTCGTTGATAATTCACCCCCTTCTTCATCCCTATAACCCATGAAAACCATATCTTTATCCCTGATTTTAAACTGATTTTTGTTTGGACATTGCTTTAGATCCTCATTGAGACTGTTCCATAGCTTTACTCCAGAGACTGAAATACAAAAACCTTTCCTGGTTGTCCGTGTCCTGTTTGTTTTGATTGTGTTTCCCTCTTAAATTATAACCTCCCTCTCTCTCCCTGAACAATATTTGAATATTTCTGGGCAATAGGTTATTTTCGGCTTTGAACATATTTGGGCATTTATATTTAAGATCTATGAATTTTAATAATTTATAATCCTTATTGCTCTTTTTTGGAGAATAGATAGAGAATGTAATAAACTTTTGTAGTTGTGTCCTTTATACCTGTACAGTAAAATAATACATTATCCCTTTGAAGGCAAAGGGCAACATGAAACCTCATTATCGGGTGAACCTAACCAGCTTTCATTATCACACCATTAATTATCGCATATATTAAATGTCTGTTGTTTGATGGTGGTTGATTCAGTGAAGATACACTGCAATATGCAACTTTTGGTCGACAAGAATCACATAGAACCTGTTTTGTTTTATTCATTTCATATTTTCCATAATTTCAGATTGCTTCTTGACTGTGTCTGTGAATATATATTGCATTTCCCTCCGGCTGGAAGGTGCCTGCTGAACAGCTATCAGTCATTTTGCCCCCTATTGGGAAGAGTGAAGAAACTGTAGGCAGAGAAACAGGGAGGATGGAAATTGTGGAGGAGGAGAGGAAGAGAAAAAAAGCAGGATGGTGGGGGGAGATTGAGAGATGAAGCTGCGTAAGAAGGTTCATGTAAAAGAATACAAGGGGAAGCAAAAGTAGATGAAAAGGAAGAAAGGCATTATATAAAAAATACCCCTATTATTTCCTGCCATTATTTTCAAATGGTTTACAAGATTATTCCCATTGTGCTGTGCTTAATTTTTAACCACCTCTCCCCTATCTCTTTTTCCCTCTCCCACACCCTTTCTTTCTGAATAATTGATCAGTATGTTTTCTCTCCCAGGCAGAAACAACTGCCTCTCAAAAAGCCAATCAGGGGGAGCTCTGAGATGCCAGGACTGACAATAGAGAATTCACGCTGAGACTTTTTGTCTACAGCAGATGGATGATTTAAAAGACTACAACCTCTTCTTACCTCTTCTTAGATATACAGCCTGGTGGCTTGTAAAATTTTATTTGTGTTTACTGATCTATTTTGACTCCTCCATGATGACATTACATTTTTTTAGCATGTCCTTAATCTCGTACTTTATATTCATGGCTTTACAGTTAATGCGTGTAAAATAAAGTGCCCTTCAATTTACTGAAAAGTACTATGTTTTCTTTCATTCAGAATATCACTGTCGGAAAAATAATTGTTTGCGTGCTGTCAAGTTGACGTTCTATAAAAGGGGTTTTCTTTCATTTTCTTTCCCTTTTTTCCTTTCCTCTCTCTGCATGTAGAAAGGTACAGATAGATCGAACTGAAGGAACAAAGAACAGGGAGGATGGGTAAGAGGGAAGAGTTCACATTTGGGAGAAGGGATGAGAGAGCGGAAGGGATGTGCCTTGCATGCTGGATCTGTGTAATCCCCTTCCCTCTCTACTGGCTCATCGGGTCTCTAAGGTCATCAGTCCAGCCTGAGCAGCTTGTGATGATGACTCTGATGGAAGACCAAGCAATGCCAAAAAATATTTTCCCTGACCAATATATCTGACTATGACACAATGACAGCATACAGGCACTCGACAGTTTTAATCATTAACAGGTCCAGTTCTTGTCCGTTGCAGGTAACTAATACATTCACACACACTCACAGAGGGTGCAATTTGGGGTTCAGCATCTTTCCTATGGGCACATGGAGACTGGAGGAGCTGGGGATCAACCACGACCTTATGATTAGTGGACGACCTGCTCACATGGCTGTGGCTCAGGAGGTAGAGGTCTCTCGGCTGTGGCTTGAGAACGCACCGACACCGAAGTGCAGACCAGTGAGCGCTTTAGTGCAAGTCCATCAAAATGAAAACATGTTGCAAAACTCTTCTCAGTACGTCATGCTTTATTCACCACCCTGATGAAGGCAAGTTAACCAAAAATGTTTGATGAATATGGTTTACTGAAACAAGCTGTGCGACAGGTTTTAAATTTAAAAGGTATAATAAAATGTACTTAATCCCACATTTCTCTGTTCTTCCCTTTGACTCGTGGTTTCTGCTATTAAAGGTCAAAACAAGCAAACACACTTTTTTGCTCTCAGAGTACTAAACAGCAGTCACCATAAATTTTTAATATTCAATTCCTGCACATCCACCCACTCATAAAAACAAAAGGCAACTTATCCGCACTGCAGTTTTATATGGGTTTGTGTGTATTAGTGCATGTTGTTGTTTTTCAGTGGTTTAACTGCCACAAACCAACTGACAACTTCTTCTTTCTGCGATATTAATATGTTTGTCTTTTTAAGGTACGCTCTTTGCTCTGGGCCTAAAAATAAATGTTGCAGATGACTCAGGAGCAACTGTAGTCCCCGTTTATGGAGACAAAACTGCAGCACTAGGAAGGAATGTGTTTCTGTGCCACTGAAGATGAAGCTGTGATGTGGCTCTGTGGATAAGAGCAGGTACATGTTTTTATGATGATTCCTGATCTCTTAATGAAGTGGTCAGAATGAATGTACTGCAATCAGAGGGATAATACTTTTGTTTACATGTTCTCTCAAGATGGGATTTGAAGAGCAAATTGTGAATATTTGAAGCAGCAATGATCTTTCATAGCTAAATACTATTAGCTGACCTGTCAGGTGGCATGGCTAGTTAGTAGGTCACAGAGACACACATACACATTAGGCTGTCACAAAAAATGTTTGGTTAGTGAAGCAGATAAAGGTGGCCTTGTCACCCATGTAGCCCCAGTATCCGTCTCTGTGGTTCTATGCCCCGGTCTCTGAGTGAGGCACGTACAGAGAAGCCTCTGTATGGTACTGATGCACAATGAGTCCTTTCAACCAAGGATAAGCTGCAGCGGTCTTTGAGAATGTGGGACCAGAATACCTCAAACAGGCAGTGATCTTTCAGTGGGTTTAAACATCAGAGAACATCAACCTGAACTTACTGGATTAGGATGTATATAGTCCAGAATGATATGTGTGAAATGTGTGTCAATAATGCATTAACGCTCCACAGGCCTATTCAGGAGATTCATTATGTGTTAGTATTACTATTTTTCAGTAAAGATCCACAAGTCACTGTCACTGATAAGACATGTTTTTAGCAGAAGCAAGATATCCTCTGCCCTCCTTATTTAACATTCCTCATCACCTTCTTTGTTGGAGACACTTTCTATTGATTAGGTATCTTGCTCAAGGCATTTTCCACCCATGATTAGCCTAACAACTCCTTAACATTGATGAACATTCATCACCGTCACCACTGTTTCACACTCTTAATATCAACTTCTTGTCACCCCTTCCCCCAGGTACTCACGTCTCTTCTCCGTGATGTGCAGCAGGCTAGCAGTGTGCCCCGACAGGCCACCCTCCTCCCCTTCCCCCCCCGGATGCTGGAACAACTCCTTGGATAGGTCACCTGAGCTGGAGGGCTTCAGCAGCTTCTGGATGTCTTTATTGGGCTCTACCAGGACACAGGAATGGAGAGTGGGAGGGAGCAATGAGAATAAAAAGATGGCTTTTTGGATTTTTAATAAAAGATTACATTAGAGCTGTTGGCTTATTTGCTCTACTTAACTCACTGTAGATCTCAGGCCTAGATCTAATACAAAGGCACATCTTGAGGTATTGAAGGGGAAGAAATCCTTTAAGAAATCCCAACTAGTGAAAGAACTCAATATTCACTATGTGTCACATTCAGTTATTATCCTCATTGTACAGCCGATATTGTGTTTGCCCAATCAATTACAGAATCTCAACCTGCCATGACTCCCCAGCTAACTGTATCACCTGCCCATGTATTGTTTGATTATCTCGATTTTACAATCATTTCCCCCCGTTTTGTCCTTGAATACATTCTTTAGTCAACACATGTGAATCAATATCATTTTGCATCTTTGTGTGCATGTGTATAGACAGAGTTAAAGGTTCACTAGGCTCACTAGGTGATTCTAGTCTAATTCAACAGTTGTTACATTATCGTCATTTTAACGTTTTCTATAAAGAAAATGCTTTCTGAGAGCCTGATCATGCTCTTCCCTCAAGCCAGCCGAAAAAACATCTCCAACATCGATTCAAAATAGAAAAACAAGTTCACAGTATTATTAACAAATTTTGAAAATAGAAGGTGCTTAAAATAGCATCCGTTCAAATGCAGGAGAATGCGCACTCTCACCTATTTGACACAGCTGAAAATACAGTGGTGTTTGTGATGAGGCTCAGTGACGTAAGGACAAGAGTACAGAAGTGCTGCACTTTTAATTGAAAAATGCAGGAAATAATAACTGCAACACAAACTACATGAGTTTCCAGTGATATGAACAGTATAAACTTGTACTCCATTAAAAAATACATTTAACAGGAAACTATAACAACATTATAAATCTGTGTGTATATGGAGCAGCATTTGGAAGTATAGATTTTTATAGGATAACACGCAGAGCTGATGGAGTATAGCAGCAGTGTGGGAGTATAGCAGCTTTCTGATGGGCCTCACCAGATGGCTGGTTTTAGCTATTTCTACTTGCAGTATGTTCCTAGACAGTTGAATTTCTCATATCAAATTAAAAGCCTGTTACAGCCAAAGCCAAGTCAGAATATGACAGATTCTGATTTCAGCAGGAGAAGCACAGTATTCATTAAGGGCAATTGATTGTTTTCCCCAGCGAGGAGTCACACAGACTGAAAGACTATAGCGTTACCTCTGCTGTTATAATGAAATGTTTGTTCAATATTTAGACTCCCTGCAGCTTTGGTCTATTTCCATCACCTTCTTCACCAAACACTCGTTTTAGAAATCATGGATTACTGTTTCCTGACCTTTCCACCTCTGCTTAAAGGAAGTTTATCATCCTCATCTTTTCCATTAACTGTAAAATAATTTTTTCGCCACAAGAGTATTGAGCTGTGGGAGTTGCAATGCATTCATAAAAACATTTACCATTTGAGCTATTTATGTTTTATCAGGAAATTACTCTTGTTTAGACCATAGGTAGAAGAATAGGACATTAGACCTCCTGTATGCCAATGTGAGGGAAGCTTACATTGCCACTGCTTTTCCCCCACTGGGAAAGTCTGATCATAACCTGGTCCTGCTCACGCCACAGTACAAACCACAGATCCAGACACAGTCCATGACCAAACGCTCCTTCAGGAAATGGTCTCCTGAGGCAGCGGAGGCTCTGAGAGACTGCTTTGAATGTACTGACTGCAGGAAGCACATGATGAGGACATCAAGGGAGTCACACACTGCACTACTGACTACCTGAACTTCTGCATGGACGTTGTGGTCCCCACCAGAACGGTACGCTGCTTCCCAAACAACAAGCCCTGGATCACCAGTAATGTCAAGGACACCCTGAACAGGAAGAAGGGGGCATTCAAGGATGGGCTGAGATGAGCTGAAGCGCGTACAGGGGGAACTCAAGGTCCACCTGAGAGAGGCGAAGGAGGACTACAGAAGGAAGGTAGAACAGAAGCTGCAGCACAACAACATGAGGGAGGTCTGGGATGGCATGAAAACCATCACAGGCAGCAAGAAGACGTACAGTATTGCAGGAGAGGGGGATGCTGGGAGAGCAAACCAGCTAAACCTTTTTTTTAACAGGTTTAATACTCCAGCTCCCACAACCAGCAATGGACCACTTCACACCACCATGTCCATCACCTCCCCCAATGCCACCACCATGTCCATCACCAAGGATCAGGTGAGCAGAGAGCTGAGGAGGCTCTGTCCAAGGAAAGCAGCAGGCCCGGACAGAGTGTGTCCAAGGATGCTTAAAGCCTGTTCTGCTGAACTGGGCCACTCCAGCATGTCTTCAACCTGAGCCTGCAGCTGGGGAGGGTCCCAGTGCTCTGGAAGACTTCATGTCTCATCCCGGTTCCCAAGAAAAAACACCCCAGGGAGTCGGGTGACTTCAGACCAGTAGCATTGACATCACATATCATGAAGACCTTTGAACAGCTGCTGCTACATGTCCTCAGACCCCAGGTTCACAATGGACAAGATCCACTGCAGTTTGGATACCAGGAGAAGGTGGAGGATGCCATCCTCTATCTGCTCCACAGAGCCTACTCACATCTGGACAAGGTGAGCGGCGCTGTGAGACAAGCTGACAGAGATGAGGGTGGACCACGCTTGGTGACATGGATTACGGACTACCTCACAGAGAGACCACAGGACATCAGACTGAAGGGCCACACGTCAGACATGGTGGTCAGCAGCACTGGAGCACCACAGGGGACCGTGCTCTCTCCCGTCCACTTCACCTTGTACACATCTGACTTCCAGTATAACACCGGGCTCTGCCACATGCAGAAATACTCAGACGATACTGTGATAGTTGGCTACATCAAGGATGGACAGGAGGAGGAGTATAGGAGCCTGGTAGAGGACTTTGTGAGGTGGTGCAGGACCAACCATCTGCAGCTGAACACCTCCAAGACCAAGGAGATGGTGGTGGACTTCAGAAGGAAGAAACCACATCTCCAACCCATGTCCATCGAGGGGGTCGATGTGGAGGTGTGTCAGGACTTACAAATATCTGGGGCTGCAGCTGGATGACAAGCTGGACTGGACAGAAAATATGGACACTCTCCACAGGAAAGGGCAGAGCCGTCTGTACTTCTTGAGAAGGCTGGGGTCCTTCAACATCTGCAAAAAACTGCTGCAGATGTTTTACCAGTCTGTGGTGGCCAGCATCCTCTTTTACGCTGTAGTTTGCTGGCTCAGCGGTGGGCTCAGAGCTGGACTCTCTAGTGACAGTGGCAGAAAGAAGGACCCTGGACAAACTGCTGTCCATACTGGACAACGCCCACCACCCTCCGCACAACACCTTCATCGGGCAGAGGAGTGTGTTCAGTGTCAGATTGCTGTCCCAAATCTGCACTCTTTACTTTCATCTGCACTCCATTTGCACTGTTTACTGTTCTGCACTGTTTCACTGTGGCTACTGTATTATAAGTTATTTTAATTTTAATTTTATTTTAATATAGGTTTAATGTATGTTTAATGAATGTATGTTTCGTGTGAATTTCCCTCGAGATAAGTATCTATCTATCTATCTATCTATCTATCTAGGTAGATGGTTCCTGCTGTTCTGATTATACAGTTTTCTAAGGCTTTGTCTGCTCATATATACGAAAAGGTTTAGTATTTTGGCGGAAGATGATTCTGGCTCTCGGCGAGGACGTTAATCGGTGACAGAAGAAAAGCGCATTCAAGAAAGTCACAGTACTATCCTTATGTATAGGAGGACATGTTTACACAGATGGCCTGTTATAGCTGCCACCTGCTGAAGCGGCTGTGAAGAAACCAGAGTAAATAACAAGAATATAAGTCACTTCTGGTAAAAAAAAAAAAAAAAAAAAAAAAAAAATCAGAAATGAGTTCTTCTCAGGCAATGGCTGACCCTGTCTCGAGCCGTCAGCTGTGACTGTCTGTAAATCAGCTAACCCTAGACAGACAGATGGAGAGAGAAGGCGATAGGGAGGATGAGAATAATGTACTGTACGTTTGCCAAAAGTTGAATTAAACTCAGTGTCTCGGTTCAATAAATCAATCGTTGTTTGTAGCACATGCAGGAGGGATTAACATCACAACACCCTTTTTGCCAGGTCATTCATTGTACACACTGATTGCTCTCTATCATCTGTACTTTATAGTAATGTTGTTTTATTTTCCAACACACACTGCAATCAGCAATTCCATCCAAATGTCTCTAAAAATAGATGACTAAATCACTATGCACTGGGAATAAGTTACTCCATGTTGACTCCAGAAATAATTAACAGTCTATAGTGTTTTTGGAGCATTTTCTAGCAATATTAATTCTAATCCTCACAAGTAGGGCACTTTTCTGCTAATTTCCTAATTCAGGTTGGTTGTTGGTTCAGAACAGCCACAACACAGGCAGTGTTATACAGATATCACACTGTGACCCTGTGATACATCATAATAATTATGTGCACTCTAATTCAATGCCATCATAATGAGTAAATAATATCCCAATTTGTCATGGGCAGTGCTCAAATACTGTATGTAAACAATGATAAGAGGAACAAAGCCATGGCACAACAAAAGCATCTCCAATAAAAAAAGACAAATACTGCTGAAATTGCTACTTACAGTGGCTGCAGATACATTGTCTTGCCCCAAGGTACAATAGAGCAATAAAGCAACATTTTACTAGCGGTTGAATACACACTGCAGGTTTAGAGGCAGCTAATATGTAATATGTAATACACTAAAGAAATAAACTACCCTTCTACTGCTTTGCCTCACTTTGTACATTATGAGATGTAGATCTTTTTATTTATCAAAGCTAATGTTAGAATCTCCCACATTGGACATGTCATTTAAGATGTAGTTATCAGCCCTT